GCCCGGCCTCTCGCCAGCCTCATGTGTCCCCACCAGTCACAGTGGACCAACAGAGGCCACAGCAGCTCAGCGGGAGCCCAGGGGTCCCACTGTCTCCCGAAAATCACCCAAGGGCCTCCCACTGCAGCCCCATCCAGCGCTCTCACAGGTGGGAGGCAGCCGCCCATCACCAAGCATTTGTTCCCCAAATGCTGCGTTCCAGGCCGGCCCTGCCCTGCCTGCCTGCCTTCCGCCTGGGAGATCCCTCAGCAGGGGGTCTTCACAGCAGCAGTTCAGTGCAGTGTGCCAGGCACCGGCCAGCACCCCCCTGATTACTCACTCAGCCTCACAAAACCCTGGAGGGCAGGCTGTTCTACCTGCCCATGTCCTGCAAGAGGACACGGGGCTTCGAAGTGAGACACCTGTGCAGGTACAGGCTGGGCAGGGCAGACCCAGGATTTGAACCTCCATCTCTGTCTGTACCTTCTCTCGGGGCCTCAGTTTCCTTTTCTGTCAGGGGCAGGGGTCAGCCTAGGTGATCTCTGAGCTCCCTCCCAGCTACAGAAAGGGAAGGACGTGTTTGCATAAACATGCTCCGTGCCCAAGCATCCGGAAATGCTCGCATGCCATGCTGGAGGCCCCGCCCCTCACCAAGGATGTGGAGGCAGCGCCTGCTGACCGCCCAGCCAGCCACTGCCTGTCACTTCTCCTGTCCCTCAGGCATGGTCGTGGCTGGGAGGAAAACCACTGCCTGGCCTGCCCGGGCCCTTCGTCCTCACCTGGAAGGCCTCCCTCCAGGTGGTCAGGGCATCTCTGCTCCCCTCCCTCTCCACATGGCCCCTCCGTGACTTCTCTTTGCCTGGACAACCTCTCCTTTCCCGAAGAAGCCTTTCTCTCCTCTCCACCTTATTCCAGCCTCTCCTGCCTCCCAGGTGAAACCAGCTGGGATCCGGTATCCCCAAAGTCACAGATGCTCGGGGGCAGAGGGACTCCCAACTTCAGCTCCTCCGCCCCTGCGTCCCCTCCAGAAGGCACCCAGCCTTGAACATCCTCGGCAGAGAGAGGATGACTCGCCGTCCCTCTCCCTGCATCCATTCTCACAGAATCCTCCTTATCTACCCTGTGAGCAGGTGCCACACTCCCATTGGACAAACAGAGGCCATGCAGCTCTGAACGGCCCCAGCGAGGCCACGGTCACACAGCCCTAAGCAGAGGAGGTGGGATTCAGACCCAGCACTGTGTGGCTCGAGGCCCACACACTCCTCCTGCGCACCAGGTGCACTAAACACTCCAGCTCATGTTTCCAAGGGCAGTTTGAATTGCTAGAAAGAGGACAGACCTCACTCCTCCTCCATGGAATCTCCTTGCCCATCTACAAGGCTGGGGCAGGACCCTGGATGCCCCCAACATCACTGTCACCTGGTTCAGGGTGGAGCCAGACTGCTCTTCCCCTGGCCTTGGACTTGGGACTCACTGGACACCAGGAATCCCGGATCCAGCCACTGAGCCCAAGGCCTGTGTCTGCCCTGGGCAGGGAGGAGGGGAGGGCTAGCCCTGCCCCCAGGGCCTCCAGCATCAGAGAGGGTTGGGTAATCCTGGCAGCTTTCTTTGCCAACAGAATCCCAGTAGGACTTTCCAAGAACCCCATCAGAGAGAGAAGGCGAGAGATAAGGAGAACACACATCCCAGGATGCTCTGCACCAGGGCCCTGAATTCTCAGACAGTGAAGAGGATACAGCAGCATCCTTCTTACAGTCCCTGAGGCCCCAGCAGGGGGGGGGGGGGGGACAGTGGGGCCTGGAGGAGAGCCACCAAGACAAGGGGCAGCATACAGCCAACTGCGCATGTGTGGAAGTGGGAGGGGCTCCACACAGCCCTAATGCAGCAGCCTTGCAACATCTTGGGTCACCAGGCCAGGCCTCCCCACCAGCGAGCTACAGGCAGGTGACATGTGTGCCCAGATACAGACCCCTCTGCTGGCAGGGCAGCCTGGCAGGGGCTTGCAATCGCTGAGCTCCGGGCTGCTCTGCTCATCCGCGTGTGCCAACAATACTGCCATGGTCTGAGCACCCCGATGGGGAAAGGTTGGGGAGCACTACTTCAAGTTCACGCCTCCTTTCTTCAGAAAGAAAATGCAAGGTCTGGAGCAGAAGTGACCTGCCCAAGCCCTTCCGCTGGCTTGTGGCAGGGAATGCCCTGGACCCTGGGCCTCCCTGCTCCCCACCCAGCCTCCTCTCTGCTGAGCCCACCACGGCCCACTTGGTTTCGGGCTGGCCAGGCCAGGGCCTCCTCACCCAGCGATGCACCCAAGTTGCCCCACACAGAGCCGCCCATGCACCAGCTCCGGGGCTGCAGTGGGTGGAGCAGAGTCCCCGGGGGTGATGAGGAGGGAGCTGTTCCAGACCCTGAAGCCTTCCCTCACTGCGGGGAGCGGTCCCCGGGGCCCAGGCATCCAGGGCAGCGGGTGAAGGCAGCTGATTCATTGAGCTGCAGACCTAGTCATTTCCTCATTTATCTTGTCAACATCCTTGTCCCACAGAGTGTCAAGTCCATTACGTAAAGATTTTCTGCTAAGAAGATACTTAATGTGAGCCCGGGGAGCAGCAGGGGCCGGACTGAAATGAGGACGTCTGACCTTCAACCCTCAGGGAGTAAGCCAAAGCTGCTTTACTGGAGTTAGACCCAGTGGCTCCCACCCACGTGCAGAACTCAGCTGGTACCTGAGCTACTGTAGGGTGGGGAAGGGGTGTGCCAGAGCCGCCAGGGCATCCCCACCAGAGCATCCACATGCCAACGACATCTTCCACCTGCATCTGTGCCCCCGAGCACTGTCTCAGAGGAGTGGTCCAGGGTGGATTTCTACCCAGAACGAACCAGAAAATGTAAGAAGCAGAATGTGTGCTGGGAGAGACCTCAGTCAACCCCTCACCCAGGGCAGCCCTGTCGGACGGGCAAGGCCTATAGCCTGACCACAGTGCCTGCAGGCAAGCCAGACGACAAGCTGCCGAGCCCCACTCCTCTGCTCTTACCCCTCTGGGGGCTTTGATGGTGACAGCCCAGCCAGGGAGCTCAACGCACAGACCATCTTTGCAGCCTCCGTGCCATTCGCCACCACCAGGCCCTGGATGTCCAAATGGTCACCCTTTGGCCAGTGCCTTCCTTCTCACGGGTGTCCAGGGTTTCTCTCACCAGGCACATGCATAATGTCCCGTCTCAATCCCTGAAACATGCATTCTCAACAGGAGAGGATGGTGTCACCCTCACTGAAACAAAAATTGGTTCTTGGTTTGGCAAAAACAAAATAGACATTACCATGGTTTGTGGCCCCCCGAAACTCAACCCTGTCTGATAACACTTTATTTCTTGGCACTTGCTATGGACTAAACTGTGCCCCTCAAAGAGCAGTGACCCCCCCCCCCAATGTGACTGTGCTTGGAGAGAAGGCTTTTAGGAGGTAGTTAAGGTTGAGTGAGGTTATAAGGGTGGGGTTCTAATCTGAGAGGACTGTGGCCTTATAACAAGATCTCTCTCTCTCTCTCCCCCCAACTCACCCCCAACTACTCTCCTGTCCCACCCCACCCTGTGAGGACACAGTGAGAAGGTGGCCATCATAAGTCAGAGAGAGAGCTCTCACCAGAAACCAAGCCCTGCCCAACCTTGATCTTGACCTTCCAGCCTCCAGCGCTGTAAGATAATACATTCATATTGTTTAAGCCACTATTCTGTTATGGCAGCCCAAGCAGACTGAGTATTTCCCCAGTTAGAGAGGATTAATTTTTCTCCTTAGGGGGTAATAATGGGGAAACGTTTGAGCAGCATTGTCCTAGAGAATTCTCCATTCGGAAGGGCTTGGGGGCTCACAGGTCTTTTGTGTCACAGTTTAGAGCACTGCTTCTCAACTGGCAGCAAATGTGTCCCAGGCCATGTCTGGAGATATTTGGGGTTGTCACGCTTGGGGAGGGGGTGCTACTGCCATCCCTTGGCAGAGGCCAGGGACGCTGCTCAACATCCTAAATGCACAGGGTGGGTTCCTCCCACAAGATCTACCCAGGCCCAAGTACCAGCAGTGGTGCTGGTGAGGAACCCTGGCTTAGATCAAGGACAGCCCAGAAGGCTTCAAATCCTGCCTCAAAACCAGCTGGAAAACAGGGGCCCGGGCACAGGATCCCAGGGAACAAGCCCACCCTGCCACCTTCTAGCACCAGGTGACTCCAGGAGAGCTCACCCCAGCCCCACAGAGCAGTTCCAAGACCGGAAGCCACCCCCCGGTGCCCAAGCAGGGGCAGACTGCCCTGGGCCCACTGGGCCCCCAAATGGCAGAAGGAACAACAAGGTCAGGAAGAAAGGACCAGAAAGCTTATCAGGTTCCTACACGTGGACCTGAGTGGGTGGGAGCTCACTATGTGGGAGCAAAGCTGGAGTTTAACCTGGTCCTTCTCCCCCCCCTGGGGCTCAGAGCCCTTCCTCAGAGGCCCCTCAGTGGGGTGCAAGGAGCGGAGCCCTGCGGGTGGGGGGGATCCCACAGCAGAATGGACAGCAGTGACATGAACACCAACAACCACAGCCCACGCTTCCTGAAGGCTCACCCAGCAGCACGCTGAGCCCTTAACAACCACTGGCTCCTTCAGACCTCGCAGCCATCTCCAAGGTAGTATGCTCCCCATTGCACAGCTGAGGAGACTGAGGCACAAAGAGCTTGAACAACTAGAACAGAAGAGCAGGGGGACTGGAAAGAGGGACCCATCGGGCAAGACAGGTGACGAAGAGGAGAGTGACAGCAGGTTTCATATTGGAGGCCTGCTGCCTGGCCGGCTCGAGCCAGGCAGTTCCCATAAACGCTTTACTCCATGCAGAACCTGGGCGGGCGTGCTGCCTCCTTTGACAGATGAGGATCTATCTGATGCTCAGAGCGGTCAGGGGCTTGCTGGCGTTACAGGCCAGGACCCTGAGCCAGCCCAGGGCTCCACCCGCCGCACCTGGACCAGGCGAGAACCGGGAGGCCCCAGCACCAGCCCACTTACCTGAGAAGATGGACGCGAGCCTGAAGATGTCGGAGAGGCGGGAGGTCACCTGCTCGTAGGGCGAGGCCTCGTAAAACTCCTCTCCTGGAAAAGAGAACATCGTCAGGCCCAGGGGCCCCTCCAAAAGCGAAGGGGAGGTCCTGAGTGAAGAGTTGGAGTGTCACAGGGACGAGTTATCTCCTCCAGCTGGAGTGGACGTCCCCCAGCAGGTCAGGCTGCCTAACTCTCCCTAGTGCCCCGGCATGGCCTGCCCTCCTCTAAGGACTGCTGAATGCTCTAGAAAGAAGGCCTGGGCGGTGGAATGGTGACAGCCTGGGGAAGGCCAGGTCCCACCATTCAGTACGACGTCCTCATTTCACAAGGCAGGGCGTGGAGGTGGTCCAGAGAGGTGAAGCAACCTGCCCGCGATCACACAGCTCCTCGCGGCAGCAGCTGGCCTGCCATCTCCCAGCCCTCCCACCAGCGTCCTCTCCCATCGCACCTCTGCTTCCCACCATGACGCCGGGAGAATCTGGCTGGAGGGCCCAAGGTCTGCTGAATGGAGGCCTGACCCCAGCTCCTCTTGGCCTGACCCCCTCCTCGACTCCCTACATATCTGCCCACCACCTGCTGGCTTCTCAGACCTTCGGGTGCATTAGAAGCTCAGCGAAAAGCAAGGCAAGGGAGTGACAGGAGATAAGTGGCACAGGGCTGCCCTAGAGACCCCCTACCAGGTCATCAGACTCCTGCCCCCTCTGCCACCGCATTGACGGGAAGGAAATATCCTCTTGAGATGTTACCGTGAGAAGAAATCAATGAATAATCACTCGGGCTGTTCATGTGAGTGGAGGGCCAGGGAGATAGTGATGACCCACAGCCTCACACAGTGAGCTCCCACCCACCCAGGGCCCTGGGCTATGGACAGGCTCCTCCTTCCTAAGGGGGCCCCAGGTGGGCGGCACCCATGGGGGCCTCCTGCAGGAAGGTACCTGCCATCCAGATGTGGGAATCCCCGGTGAGGGGCTCGGTCAGCCAGCCCATGAGGTCACCCTAGAGGTGTAACCAGCCTCCTGCTGGTACTCGGAACAAAGCCTCCTGTCTGCTGTACTGCGACTCCAGAAAAGGGGACCCACCACAGACAACACGGGAAGTGCATTCCCCCAGAGAAATGGCCCCACCCTTCACTTTACCTCATGGGAGCACCCCTCAGGCCCTGCAACACCCAAACGTTACTTGTCCCTTCAGGCCTGTCTCCAGCCCCACCTTCCCCCTGGGGCCTCCACCCTACCCACCAGCCCTGGAGAAACTCCCTGTGGGAGGGTTGCCAGCCAGCGCTAGTTGTTGAGGCCAAATAACGTAAGAGCTTAGGAAGTATTTTGTAATAAAAATGACGTTAATGTTATCCTGTGCTTTCCACGGGCCAATCCTACTGAAAGTAGATGTACTAACTCACTTAATCCTCTTAAATTTATCTATGGGGTAGGCACCATCCGTCTCCCTATTTTACTGATAAGGAACCGGGGCACAGAGCTGTTAAGTAACTTGCCCAAGGCCACACAGCTGGTAAGTGGCAGAGTCAAACTTCAAACCCAAGCAGTTGGTGACAGGGTCCAAGTATTTAATCATTATGAATGCTGTCTCCAAAAATAAAGTGTTATTGAAACCAAGCTGTTCTCCCTCCAGCTGGCCTGCTCCCCCAGAGCAGGGCCTGTCCTTCACTGCTGCATGGGGTGCAGCACCACACCTGGGAACAGCTCAGCCAGATGATTGGCTGGGAGGGGAGGGTGTGTGTGGGGTGGGGGGTGAGGGGGGATGGCCTATTCCCAGGACTGGCTGGGAGGAGTCCATTCTTCTCAGGGCAACAGAATTCACCGGTGGAAACCCAAGGCCTGGCTACTTGAGCATCCCTGGCAGCCAGACCGAAGCCAAATCAGGACATTCGGTCTGCTATACTGCAGACTCCAGAAAAGGGGGCTGGTTGTGCCTCCGTGTGCACGACCTGGGAGGACCTGGGAGAGGTCTCTGATGCTCACGTCTGAAGGACCAGGGTGGCCCTGAACTTCATTGTCACCTTTGAAAAGGGCAAGACGTCCAACAGCAACAGTTCTGCCCTGTAAATACCAGCGGTGGTGGCGGCAGTGGTGGAGGTTCCCCACCCCCGCTCTAGGAGCTCAGTAGCCTGGGCCTCAGGCAGAGGGAGTAGGAGGGACCCCCAGGGAACTCTCACCCCTAGCTGGGACCAAGGAGAAGACAAGAACCAAAGTCCAGACCTGCACAGGCCTCTCCTCTCCCCATCCGCCCACCCACCCCAGGGAACAGGGAGGAGGTGCTCAGGGGACCACTTCCCCCACACCATGAATAATTAACTATCACATAGATCCTCTAACTCACAGGAACAGTACCTGC